TAGCCTAAATCAACCTGGACTTGTGGTATTTGAACAAAAACAAAAACGAAAGAACGGCAACTTTGTTCTGAAAAATATTTCAGTTTTACCATCGGAAGCTGAAAGTTTGTTACCAAAATTGGAAGAACTTTTATGCCAATTTGTTCGTTATTGATACAAAAAAAATTCATATTATCGTTCCAACTTATTTTTTATATTTACCATAATTTTAATACCGATCATTCATTTATTATTAGTCAATAGTAATAGTTTCGTTTCATTTTCTGCGCAATGAATGCGATATAATAAGAAAATTACACAAATTGCCTTAGTTATAATGTACACAAAAAAAAAATTATTTCAAAGTGAATTCAATTGAATACATTGAATACAAAATAATTTATACGTTTATACCTTTGCCGAAAATAAAAGCCATTTTTCATCTTTCTAAATAAATTGGACTGAAATTACATTTATTTGATTAATATGTTTTTTTAAAATAAAATTTGAAAAATAGTTTTCGCTATAGGCACTCGTACAATTTCTGCTGGCTTATATTTGTGCATCATTTTGTATTGTTCCAATGAATACAAACGATAACAGAAGCCGTTTTGAACGCGACCAGCTCTGCCACTGCGCTGTTTTGCACATGCCTGTGAAATAGACTTTAATTCGAGAATGGTCGATTTGGTTTCCGCGTCATAAAACAGCGATTTTGCTTTTCCGGCATCAATAACGTAGACGACATCATCTATTGTAAGTGCTGTTTCTGCAATATTTGTAGATAATATTATTTTTCGAACGCCATTTTCCATGCGATCAAAGACATGAGCATGACCCTCATTGTTTTCATCATTTAGTTCGCTATGCAGCGCAAAAATCTTATAACCCCAATCCTGTAATCCATGTACGCTTACTAACTTTTCATGTTGTTCGCATATATCGTCGTAGCTGGGCAAAAATACAAGAATAGCGCCATTTTTTGACGTATTTTCATGGATATGATCAATGACATGAAAAAGTAAGTTGTGATCAATAATATTTTGTGTGCCTTGTGTTGATCGATACGCTCTTCCAATTTCCACGTAATTTTTCCATGTTGTGGTGGATGTCACACGTTCATAACACATTAAGAGCTCACAACCCTCACAACATTCCTCTTGTTTATTCTCTTTCGCATAATCAATTGCGCTTTTACCAAATGGATCTTTAAAGGTCGCACTTTCACCAAAAGCCAAAAGCTTTAACATCATATTCAGTGAACCATTTTCCGCAGCAATTCCCAACACGGTGCGTTGCTTTGTACGATGAACATAATTGGCCGGCATGTAGTCGCCTTCAATGAGAGAAAAAACGTTTTCAAATGATTCACAATCTTTTCGCAAAATATAAGAATCCAGGCGACTGTCGCACATTAAGCGATATGATCGCGGCATGTCTTCTATAGAATGAAATAATAAACAATAAATTAATATTTTACGTAAAGATGCGTTTTTCCAAGCAACGATTTAATCTTTGTGCTTTATAAGGCAACCGATATGTAATATCTAGTATGTCATTTAATAGTTACCATCTTTTATACGCCGAATTTGCGATACTTGATTCTCTTCCAAATATGTGGCCATTTTGCTCGTTTTGTATTCTGTTTTGATTAATACTTCTTCGAGATGCATAGTTTGAACATCAAAAGTACGTCCAGGCACATCGATAATCGGACAACCATTGAAATATCTACTGAATTTTTCGCTGTTTAGCGTTGCTGACATTAGAATTATCTTCAAATTGGGATTGCTTGGCATTGCTTGGAGTCGACTCCAAAAAATGTGGCTTGAAAATTTTGTGTTACCGCATAATTTGCGAGACGTTTCAAATATAACAGCGAAGGTCCAACGAATGTTTTTTCGTTTTGTATAGCTTCGATCAGAGTTTTATCTTCCTGTTTAATCAATTTAATACCACCTCGATCCCAACTGTGCTCAACTCTTTTGTGCTTGTAAATGTTTCCCGAAATATTCTGCTGGCATATATCGCACCAAACCATTTTGCGTTTCCTGTTTAAATTATAAAATAATTGTTGATATAAAAAATGTTAAACTGAGAGTGAAGAGCGATTGAGGTTAGAATATCACGAAAATGTGCATATGATTCTAAACGTTCTAAACTCATTTATTGGTTTTTTTCTCTCTGCTTTACATTTCTTGTTACTGTAAAATCACTTTTCAACAATTTATGAAATCGTATTCAATCTAAACACAATAAAATCACAAAATAACTTACAGTTTGCACACAAAAACTATCGCAAAATTGCGTTATGAAAATAATGTGTTTACGGTTTTGACAGATTATTAATGTCGACGTATACGTAACCACAGCTGTCATAATATATACGTAACTTCGTATTTTCACATTGTGGAGAATTTTTTCTGTTTCATTAATAATGAATCATTATTTTCTGTAATAAATAGAAATTTATTTATTTATAATTCTAATAGAATGAATTTGAAAAAATAAATAGAATCATTTATATGAAATAAAAATAATTCTAATTTGAAATAATACGATTTTGTTAGGTTCCCATAGAATGGTGTGAGTATTTATAATTTAGTTGTATTATTTTATATGCTTTATGTGTGTGTACAATGATTTTTAATTGATTTAATTTCAATTTGATTTACTTGAATGATTTTTAATACAATTTTTGTGTTGAAACTATAACATTCAAATACATTCCAAATTATTGAAATAAATTTGATTTTTGCATCTAATTCACACTAAAATCAGATGGCGCTCATTAGCGAGATTCGCAAAAAAAAGTCTCCAATCTCATATACGTCAACCCCCCTTGGTGCCATTACCATGAACGTCCCTCAGACCAAACGGCAATGTTGACGTGTCAATGTCGGAAAGCATTTCATTGAAAAATTTTGTATGCTCGACTGAGCTTACACCTAGACGAGCTTGAGCCACTACATTGCGGAATGGTATGGGGGTTGCTAATCGCTCTTTTTGTCCCATAAATATCATTTCAACTTCTGTATACAGTCTTTCTAGAGATTCGTGGTCTCCAGTCAAGTGGTGCATCAGTTCCAGTGCCACCCATTCACCTTCTGAAGTTGAGGCGGCTATTAGACGTAGCAGCGGTGCCTGTTTTAAGTCTAAACGGTAGTGACGTGGGTTGAAGCGTTTGCTCAATTGTTCTAGTATCGGCTCATCGGTATCATTCAGTGTGACTTCAGTGAGTAGCGATGGAACGTGACGTAAGACAACTTGTGCCGGTTCATTGAGTCCTTCCCACATGAAAGCGGTACGCAGAATATCATGTCGTTCAATCACTTGTTGCAATGCAGTGGAATAACGTTCGAGTGAGGTTCGGTCCTCAAATTGTAAACGTGTAATGAGCAAGTATGGGTCACCATGTTCAGCCATCATATGATGGAACAAAATGCCTTGTTGTAATGGCGCTAATCCGTAAATATCTTGAACATTGGCCACGCCACCCGGCACCTGTGCAATTAATGCATCAATCTCTGTCTGCGGAAGAGTGATAAGCGGCAGCATTTCTGGAGTAATTTTCGTGCTATCTGCGGTAATCAGATTAGGTGGAATGATTAATGCCTTGTGATGGCCGAGAGTTTTGGCAAGTGCGGCCAAAGAGGGTGCATCGAATACTTCGCGGACATTGGTGTCTAGCCCGGCTTGTCGTAATTGCGACAACATTCTCACGATCAGTAGAGAATGTCCACCCAATGCGAAGAAGTTGTCATGCCGACTGATGCATTCAATGCCCAGAATTTCACTCCAGAGTGTGGCTAGTTTCACTTCCATTTCACCTTTTGGAGGTTCATACGACTGACGGGCAAATGATTCATCGTCTGGAGCTGGCAGTGCACGTCGATCCAATTTGCCGTTTGGTGTGAGTGGCAAAGACGGAAGACAAACATAAGCCGCCGGCACCATATATTCAGGCAGTAAATCCACCAAATATGTGCGTAAATTCAGAGCGAGCGATATATCTTGTTCTGCGACTACATATGCAACTAGACGCGCATCAGTATCTGGCTTATTTTTCCATGACAAAACAACGGCGTCTTGCACCAAAGGATGTTCAATGAGGCGGCCTTCAATTTCACCAGGCTCAATTCGAAAACCACGAATTTTTACTTGTTGGTCGGTGCGTCCCAAATAGACCAAATTGCCATCAGGAAGATAACGGGCCCGATCACCGGAGCGGTACATACGTGCTTCTGGATTTTCACTGAATGGATCAGGGAGAAAACGTTCTGCGGTAAGTTCAGGTCGGTTGAGGTAGACTCGCGCTACACCAGCGCCACCAATATACAACTCTCCTTCGGCTCCCAATGGAACCGGTTTGCCTTGGAGATCTAAAAGGTAAATCCGTATATTGGACATTGGACGACCGATTGGTATCGGATGGCTTTTGAAGTCAACCGGGCATAACCAATTAGTTGCAGTGATAGTAGTTTCGGTTTGTCCATAAGAATTGAAAACCTTTGTGTAAGAAAACGTAGTTTGTAGCACAGATAATGCAGGTGCTTCGCCACCTAAAATCAATGTATGTAAACTCTTCAAGACCGAAGGGTTTTGTAAGTTCTGGAGTAGGGCTGGTGGAAGATCCGCATGTGTGATATTTTTAGCGATAATATAACTCATCAAATTGGTTTGGCGAACTTCTTCGCAAGGTATGCAAAGACAGGCCCCACTCATTATAGCCATTATAATCTCATGAAGGCTGGTATCAAAACAGCACGAAGCGAATTGCAGAATGCGGCTGGTTGAAGTGATACCGAACAGCGACTTCACGTTATGGGCCAGATTGTGTACAGTCAGATGTTCAACCATCACTCCCTTTGGTTTTCCAGTAGAACCTGAGGTGTAAATTACGTAGGCCAAATGTGTCGGAGTGAGTCCCAGTTTGGTCGGATCAGGATTATCCGTCGAAAGACCATCAGGCAATACTATATCTAAGTCAACAATGGATACTCTATGATAGCCGAGTGCTTTTTGTCCAGTGGCATCAGCCAATAAATACACTGGATCGGCGTCATCTAGAATATTTATCAGTCGTTGACTGGAATAGACTGGATCGAGCGGTACATAGGCGCCACCAGCTTTGAGAATCCCTAAAATGGCTATTAGCATTTTTGTGCTGCGCTTAACGCAAAGTGCGATGCGATCATCTGGTTTAACTCCTTTTGCAATGAGGTAATGTGCAAGCTGGTTCGCTTGTGCGTTGAGTTCAGCATAGCTTAATGTTTTTCCTTCACATTCCACAGCAATTGCCTGTCCGTCGCGCTCTACCTGCGCTTCAAACAGCTGATGAAGACAGCGAACCCGTGGGAAGGCGACTTCCGTCTTGTTCCAGGTATGCAACAGCATCTCACGCTCTTCTGCTGGTAACACTGTCAATTTTCGCACTGATTGTTTCGGTGTATGCGTTAATGCATCGGCAAGCGAGACAAGGGCCTGTTGCATATAAGCACAGATCCGTGCTGCTGATAGTGATGACATAACTTGAACTGTCAGACTAATTGCAGTGTTGTCATCGTCTACAGTCATGGTTAATGGGTAATTTGTTCGCTCTGCACTACTTAGAGTACTCTTTCCAGGGAACAACAATTCGACTTTCCCATTCTGGTCTTTATGGCGGAAATTCAGTAGCGCACTAAACAGCTGTAAAGTAGCTGGAACCCCACTACAACGTTGTGCCAATTCCAGCGGAGCATGTTCATGTGCAAGTAATGCACTCAACTGAGCATGGGTACGGCGTACAGCATCTTCGATTGTGGTTTCATCAATATCCAGTCGCAGAGGTAGCGTGTTAATCACCAACCCCATGGCACTGTCGTTCTCTTCTCCCCCCTGTGAACGATCGAAGAGCACAGTTCCGAAGACCACTGCCTCACATCCACTAGCATGAGCAAGTACTTGTCCCCATGCCAAGTGGCAAAGACTGGACAAAGTCACATTTAAATTCCTTGCATGCACCCGTAACTGATTATTCAGATCATGGGACAACTTCAACACCTTTTCGTCGAATTCAATACAATCACCATGAACGTTGCTCAGATCAAACGGCAATGTTGGCGTGTCAATGTCGGAAAGCATTTCGTTGAAAAATTTAATATGATCGGCTGAGCTTAAAGAAGGTGCATCAAATACTTCCCAGACATTGGTGTCACCATTAGGTAGATTTTTAATCATACTTTGCATAATTATAACTTTCTTTCCTTTAAAACTTCTTGAGTTTAATCTGCAAATACAGTGAAAATTAATTCTTTTAAAAAATAAAACTTACAAATTGAAATATTCTAAAAGATTTTACTAATAACAATTGAATCGTTGCGGAGAAAAAGTAGCTCTTATTTTTCTCCAAATATTACTGCAACATAAAGTTTTTACTTTTCCGCACACCCACTGTGTGCAGTAAAGTATTGAAATCAGCCCAACATTTTGAAATCGCTAAAAATCGTTTTTCAATGCGTTTTGGGTATAAAAAATCACAGAGCAACAGTTTTTTGGCCATGTTAATGTGGGGATGTGGTACACTGTACACAGTACACTGTACCCTGTATGGTGTACGCAAAAAATCAATAGGTAATTTGCTAGCACGATAACTCTTCTTAGAGAAAAGCAAATCCAAATCTGATTTTACAGGGTGATTGGGGGTTGCGAGGAATAGGCTGGTATTGTTTTTCAGCGATATTCGTGCATCGGTGTATCCATGGTGACACCATGATGGAGTACCCAAAAGGCATATTGAAAACACTCCATATGACACATTGAACGCACTCATTTGAGCTGTCAAGCAACATTTCCATATATACAAACATGTAATTTTGTTCATGCAGAAAACAATAAATATGTGTATTTAAGTGCAGATTTTTATAATTTAGTGTTATTTTATGATAAAAAATCAATGTTTAAAATTTCAGACATAAAGCTGACAAAAAAGTTGATAGTTTTTTTTACATAATTCATTCATGCAGATTTTGTAAACAATGCGGAATTTCATGCAGAAATTTTAATCGAAGAATCTTTGAGCAAAAACAAAATGTATTCCAGAAAATCAAACATGCAGCTCGTTTTATTAATTGATGTGTTTTCTATCCGCGAATAATAGTGCAGATTTCGCGAAGTGGGTGACTGTAATGACAGACGTAAAATTATTTGTTTAGTGTATGTCTAGCTGCATGGTTCAATATAGTTTTCTGACATAAAGCAAAAAAAAAAGTTACTTGTTGGAGTGGCTCTTGGTCTATGTAATTTTGTACTTTTTTCTGTGAATTTTTGGTCATTTTTGTTCGAAAAATTGAGATTTGTACGTATTATCCAGGACAGAAACTTTGAATCTTTGTAAATAATAGCACACTTGAATGGTGCAAATAAAATGGAGTCAAACAAATGAACATTTCAATGATTTATTTTGGTGCATTTTTTCTCAAATTTTGAATTTTTCATATAAACAGATTTCCATTAAAAGATGACGAATGAGGAACGACTTTTTGAAGAGATATCATCATGAAACTTTGCACACGTGATTCTCACATCAAAAAGAAAAGAATGTGGGGGTGAATCATATTTTATATGATGAAGTTGATTTCCGCGGCCACTCTAGCCTGTATGGTATCGTAAGGACGTGAAACTTTGCAAAGGTTATTTTTTTCACAAAACAATAACATTCGGAGAATTTTGAAAAATTTCATTCACTAAAAATAAGGTTGCTCCCAATTGGAGGCTCCTAAAACTTTCAGAATGCTACTTTTGTGTGAAAAAAATACCCTGTGCAAGGTTTCACCTCATTACGATATCATACAAGCATTGAAAAATGTATCAGAAATTATTTGTATCCCAAAACTAATGTCAGATTCAGATTTCTTATGAATTCATATTTACGGTAAAAGATATGTAATAAATGAATGTTGTGGATCACAGTGCGGAAAAGTTCATCTTACGGATGTAAGACATTTTATTTCTCTCAAACCTGAACAAAGTCCGACAAGCTTGCATGTCACAAATTGTGTCTCAAAATCACTAACACATCACATTTTTATCACCAACTAAAAACCTTTCAATTTTAAAAATAAGCACATTCTATGTGCTAGGAAAAACTTAATAATAATACTAATATATTTTCGTTACTTTATTAATTTGTTGTGGACTTACATGTTAAAATCAATTCAACCACTTAAAACTTGATAAAAATGTTGAATAAAAATACTAAATAATAGCTAGTTGTGTGCTTTCAGATTCTGCAATTTGAAAAAAAATTGGAATCTATTTCTGTGAATTCACATTTCTCTCATTTATACAATTTCTATATTCGTAAAACACAACGCAAGCTACGATAATCTCGCAAAGGATTTTATTTTTTTATTACGCGTGAAGTTATAAGTTTTACACGCAATGTAACAATTGATCGCAATGAAACTCACATTGGTTCAACAATAATCAAAAGACGACGAGTCGATACGGAAAGAAGCTCATTCGCTGAAGGTCGTTAGAATGAATCAAATTCATTTCTTGGTTTTGCCAAACATGGACCAGTCAGACGTCCGCAAAGTAATCAACACCGAGCAATATACAGTTCTCGAAGCAATATTCAATCGATGGTGCGCGAAAGCCAAGCAGCTAGAAATCCTTTGCTAAGGACTTTGGTTGAAACGAATGGAATTGCAAGCTTTGGAAATGCACCAATTGCTGATCAGTAAGTTTGAGTTTGAATATTTGTATGAGAATTTCCACATAAATTCAATTCGAATTTTTCCCTAATTTCTTCAGACGTATTAAGATTGAGTGCTCAAGTCCAATTAACTCATCAATCGGAAATCGATACCGTGATCCATTCATACTTGATAATTTCATACTTGCTTCTGACGATAGTTCAGTTGTTGAGTCGACTGAAATTGCTTCTAATGAACGAAAAACTGAAACAAGAAATGAAGGAGCAAAGGTATTGAAGAATAGAACACGACCATTAATTGCATCCAACCAGATGGAAACCAACAAGCGATTCAACTGCACATTTTGTGAATATTCCACTAATCACAAGGGACACTTCAATGAGCACACGCGTACTCATACAGGTGAGAAACCATATCAATATGATATTTGCCGCAAAGGATTCACCCAAGCGTCAAATCTGAAGACGCACAAAGTGACGCACATTGAACAAATTCCATTCCATTCAGTGGATTTTCTCAAATGGCCGAAAAACACGACCATGAAAAGGCGTGAACAGGTGTGCAAATTGCGTCGATATGAATGTCATATCTGCAAGAAGTATGTCAGTGTTTGTATCCCTCTGTTGAAAAGGCATATGCGACAGCACAACGGTGAAAACCCGTTTCGATGCGAGATTTGTATAACGCGTTTTACACGCAAAGGAAGTCTGAATACACATTTGGACAACATCCACACCAGAATCAACCATTAAAGAAGCCACCCTTAAACCAACATTTCCAACAAATTCTTCGTGAATATTTAATGGATTTTTTTAAACCGAAATCTTGACGAATAAAGTAATAATTGAACAAAAACAAGTTTACTCGGAAATTGCTTGAATATACAAACGAATGCGCTCAAAGCAATTTGAAATAACAGTAGTAGGCAGACATAATCTGAAGTTGATTATGCAACGGATGTTATTATGAATTTATAATTATTGATAAAAAAAAATGCAAATCCTTTATTATGAATCTTTATTTCAATTCGCTCAAAAATCGATGCTGTCTGATCTGATTTCGCAGTGTCTGAAGTGCAGCAAATTCGTTTTGACCATAGGACAAGTATAGTTGTCAGACATTGAATGGCGCTGTATCTATCCTATAAACATCGAACTAATGAAAATGTGTGGTGGTTCATGTCTTATTTAATATACAATAGTGGAAATTTATCCAATGCACAAACCATTTCTTCTAGTTCCTCTTACATTAGTGTAGGGGGATTCTTCTAAAGTTCAGAGAATGACGTTTGCATATAAATACATATAAAAGACACTTTTAGGCTCGTCCTATGGTTTTGACAGTTTGTTGTTCTTGACGGTTCGCATATAGAGTGGCGTCATTCTTTCTCGTTCTTCTGCCACACAATACGCCTCCAACATTTTATAGTCTAAAACTATCAAAATCAAAGAAAGAGACACATATTTTCGATATCGAAATAAAATTTGGCTTTCTTGAATTTAGTGCAAACATTCCATTATTCGCATAAAATCCTTTCATTTTAATTGAAATTATCTGTTATTGATCAAAAGAAGAGGAAAATGTAAGAGATTTTTTTCGTAATCTTGTCGTAAAATAGTTTTATTCATTAAATTTTATGAGCGGAAGTTTATGCAAAAATAAACAAAATTAATCATTCATGAATGAACAATTTGATATCGACCTTAAATATAAATTATTCTTGGAGTCAAATGTTTTTAGCATAAAATTATTAAATTTGATAAATTGATTCGTGATAAATTGGAGTGTTGCGTGTTACAAAGATGGCGTCTAGTAGCTACAACTAACAAATTCATACATTAACAAAAACGTCCGATTTTAACCGTTTGATTATTTGTTGTGCTCAATTGGATTTTGGATTATTGGATTATTGGATTAAACGGGGAGTTATTCACTCGATGCTCAAGTTTCGTAACTTATTGCATGACGACCCGTCTTGTGCTGTCACTTGATTGCTTGGAGAATGCTTCCCACGGTATGGCCCACTTTATAGCAGCCATGTAACTAGCCTCCGTACAGGGCCAGTGACCAGGGCTTTCTTCTCAAGTCAATTGTCATGACAGTCACAAGAATTCCATTCATTCCTAGATGGCGTTGGGCTCTTCTTATTTCAATGGAGGAATGCACACATCGCTGGTTTACCGGTATATTCACCAGAGATGGCGCACTACCTTTTTACGGTTGTTGTATTTGCAATCTCTCACATATTCAATACAACAACCTGACGTGAAGGCACTCCATTTTACGTGTGTCTATGCTGAGCCCATATCTTCGTTATGCACACACACGGGACCGACGGCTTTAAGTGCCCTTCCGAAGCACTCCACTAGCCCGAAACCCGGCCAAATCTATTCCGCATTAAACCACTGACGATTCCTGAGCGAATCACGGTGGAAAAATACCGGACCAAATTTGATCGAGAATCGAACTCGTGTCCTCACGCTCACAAACCTGGCACGCTAACCACTAGTCTATGGCTGAGTTTGTGCTCAATTAAATTGTGCTTTTATGTTTCGAGATTTACTGTTTTGAATAATAATTATAACTGAACTACCTCGACAGTTTGTGCCATTGATAGCAGTTCGATGTACATATTTACCCATAAATTCAACCAAACTACTTTACTTTAAATTTGAACTTTTTTTAAAAACCAAACCTTATAATTACTTGTAAGCTTCAACACACGAATCTATATGAACGTATATGAATAAAATAAACTTTATCTTCTTAATTTATATCTTTTTTTCTTATTTTGACGAAAGTTATCCAACAGTATTTGAATTCATCGCAGGGCAGTTTGAGTGCGGCGAAAAATGATTTTGACAGCTCTGGACAGCTCATTTTGCCGCTTAGAATGTTGCATAATCATTAATCACACGACGCCTTGTGCAAGCAACATTTTTCATTCATTTTTTGAATTTCGCACGATTTCAATTGAATAAAACAATTAAAATCTTAAAAGATCAGTAGATTTGAGGTTGACTCGTTCAAAGATCGAAATAAAAGGTAAGATTAAGAGTAGTACAAGTATTGAAAACCACAACAATTATTATTCTGACTGAGAATTACGTCAAAAATTGGACATTGTGAACAAGTGAACTCAGTCAGTTCCGTAAAAAAGACCCTTTGAAAAAAATAAACCAATTGACCATTAGACGTCGTGTCTAATGGTACAATATACATAGCTCTTTGTTTGTAATTCTTTCATAGAGCACCATGGCTGATTTTATGAATATTAGACGACAAGAAGAAATATATTTTAAAGAAATCAGTGGTTAATCGAAATATTTTTTTAATGAAATGATCTCACTGTAGTTTTGTTTATGTTCTCAACCTAGATGGATGCATCAGCAATGGACTGGAGAAACGAGATGAACAATATGCTTGCTGCTTTCGATCGCCAGACAACAATGTCTTTGGGTAAAATTAAAACAGCCTTCGAACTCAGTGGCTTATTGTTTAATGCTGAATTCAAGCAGTATTTTTTGCGCGTTTCAAACGATCGGTGAGTAATATCAAGAGTATTTGGTGTGACCTTTTCTAATCATTTTTGATTTTAATTTTGTGCAGGATCAAGAACACGTATGATCAATTCGAAATCTATTCCATGTTGAAAGACCGAGTCAATGGTGGTCCAGATGCAAACATGTCAATGGCAGTTAAATTCGGGAGTGCTGGCTTAACTCATAGTATGGGCGATGCCCAAAACGAAAACAATAGTCCAGTGGAAATCAATGGCTCAAGCGATGAAGAAGATCAAATCAAAACGGAACCTTTCGATGCTGGATTTGGCATTCAGTGCGATAATAATGACGAAATGTTTGATTGGAACAATTTTTCAAACACAAATTTGCGCGGTATCGAAGATGGCGACGATACCGACGATGATAAAAATGACAAAGCAACGAAAGTGGCAGACAAAGAAATGGACGATGGCATTTCAACATTTGTTGATCATTTGGACACAACGAACGAACAAGCAACATTGAATAATGGACGAAGCATCTTGGGTGGTGCCAGAAGCTTCAAAAAAGGAGGACGATTGATTGGTTGTCCAAGAAAAGATGCTAAATCACGTTTGAATCCAGAATCATTTCGAAATAAAACATCAACTTCATCAAACCAGATGGAAACCAACAAGCGATTCAAATGCCGTCTTTGCAAATATTCCAGCAATCAAAAGGGGCACTTTAATCGACACATGCGTACTCACTCCGGTGAAAAACCATATCGATGCGATATTTGTCGCAAAGAATTCACATGTATGCAGAACTTGAAGAAGCACAAAATTACACACATCAATGAATTTCCATTCCATTGCCGAGGCTGTCTTGATGGATTTTTCCAGAAAGCCGACAAAGAAGCACATGAAAAAGTGTGCAAAATGCGTTGATATGAATGCCATATCTGCAAGAAGCTTACCACTTTGATTAAAACTCACTTGAAAGACCATGTGCGACAGCATAGCGGTGAAAAGTCGTTTCGATGCGAGATTTGTATGATGCGTTTTACACGCAAAGGAAGTCTTAAGAAACATTTGGACACCATGCACACCAAAATCAATCATTAAAGAAGCCAAGAAAACATTCCCAACACCCTGACGTTTTTTCTTCAAATGTTTAAATTGAACTTCTGGACTTATCAAGTCGAGATGTAGTACTTTGCAAATTAAGTCTACCGCATAACTTGAATAATTATTTATAATATCTATTGATGTGTCTCCTTTTTTTATTGATTTCTAATCCAATTTTCAACGCTTATCTTACGAGTAATAAATTGTTCTTTAACAAAAATTTTGACGGAGTTTTTTTTCATTTTAAAATTAAAATAAATTATATTTTCAATGAGTCAATTCAAAGGCGAAATTTCTCTGATCTCTCGCCGCAATTGATTCACTACAGAGCGATTCAAAACAGGCGAATGGCGAAATCTATTTTGACAGCTTATATCAGCATCTTCCATTAACATCTTCCATTGAAATTAATTAAAATTAGTCAAGAGCACATTGGTGAAAATACGTGTTCTCAAGTGACTTTATTGCCTTATTTATTGGGACTTTAAGGTAAGTTTTTACGTTCGATTTTTTTCGTTCAACTCTTCAAAATAATTTATTCTAGAACATTGACCACGTGGTCGAAATCAAATTCCATGAACTGAGCGTACACCACCGTACACACATACATAATACATTGAAAACATTTATTTGATCGATTCCGAAACTGGAAAAATGAAATGAACCAAATGCTTGCTGCATTCGAACATCAAGCAGTCCAATCTTTGGGCAAGATAAAGTTGGTTTTCAATCGAGATGGTCGGTTATTTGATTCGGACTTTAAGCAATACTTTTTAGAGGCATCAGTTGAGCGGTACGTATAGTATAAATCGATGGTTTTAATCTATCTAATACGTATACTTTTAACAGATTGAAAACCACCTACCGTCAATTCGAAATCGATTTATGGCATGAAGAAAAGGTGCCCAATTGTACTGTTGCCCAAACAAAACAATCAGCCGTGGATCAAATAGATAGCAAGGACTCAATTCCGAAAATTGATTTAATCGAGATCAATGATTCTGATGAAGAAGGCACCAAGGGAAGTAGCACAAACAATCCGACTCAATTGTTCCAAAAGCAGAAAAATACATTTTTTCATGGAAGAAATGCTTTTGATTCTGTTCCCCGTGAGCACCATGCAACCACTGAAAGTGGCACGTTGACAAAAAGGACCAGTGATCGCAATGAAACTCATATTGGTTCAACAATAATCAAAAGACGACGAGTCGATACGGAAAGAAACTCATTTGCTGAAGGTCGTCAGAATGAATCAAGTTCATTTCTTGATTTTGCCCAATTCCGGGCAGTCGGACGCCCGAAAACTAATCAACACCGAGCAATAAACAGTTCTCAAAGCAATATTCAATCGATGGTGCGCGAAAGCCAAGCAGCTAGAAATCCTTTGTTGAGGAATGGAATTGCAAGCTTTGGAAATGCACCAATTGCTGATCAGTAAGTTTGAGTTTTAACATTTGTATGAGAATTTCCACAAAAATTCAATTCGAATTTTTCTCTTCTTTCTTCAGACGCATTAAGATCGAGTGCTCAAGTCCAATTAGCTCATCAATCGGAAATCGATACCGTGATTCATTCATACTTGATAATTTCAAACCCGTTCTTGACGACAATTCAAGTATTGAGTGGAATAAAACCGCTCCTAACAAACTTGCTACAATGAAATCATCCACCTTTATATCGAACAGCAGTGCCAAAAGTGTTGTTGGAGCATTCGGAACCGAAAACATAATTGATTTGCCAAAACTACCATCAAACCAATTGAAGACGATGAAGCGATTCAAGTGCGAACTCTGTGAATATTCCAGCAAATACAAAGCACATCTAAAAACACACACGCGTACTCACACCGGTGAGAAACCATATCGATGCGATATTTGCCGCAAAGAATATGCAGATATAGGAAACTTGAAGAAGCATAAAGCGACTCACATCAACGAATTTCCATTCCATTGCCGAGGCTGTCTTAATGGATTTTACCAGAAGGCCGACAAACAAGCACATGAAAAAGTGTGCAAAATGCGTCGATATGAATGCCATATCTGCAAAAAGTTTCTCACTTTTAATAAAGCTCACTTGAAAGAGCATATGCGACAGCATAGCGGTGAAAAACCATTTCGATGCAAGATTTGCATGATGCGTTTTACACTTAAAGGAACTCTGAAGACTCATTTGAACAACATTCATACATAAATTCAATCACTCAAGTCTATTTCATTAATTACTGTTAAACAATCTCTACAACAATTTTCAATAGACCTTTTTCAAAATTTTATTCAATAAATATCAATCCAAGAATCCAAAAAAGTTGAATTTTTATTTTTATTCATAGCATCAAACAAATCCACTAACAGTTTCTAGTATTGGAAGATTATTTTATTTCGAACAGAAATATGCGTAAATTGGATTTCAATTATTCTCTCAATTTGGATTTAACGTCCGATTATGCGAAAGATATTCAAAAAATCACAGCGAAAACTTAATTCGTCGCAGAGAAGTTTGGCGAAATACTATTTTGACATCTCATGTCATCTTGCCAATAATGTATCGTCATTCTTATTTGTTCTTATTACACGTCGCCTTAAACAAAGCACGTTACTGATAAACAAAAAGCAATAAAAATCGTAATAAAACCCATTAAAAACACAATTTACGATTTATTCAGGAAGAGTGCCGCTACGGTAAACGATTAATTGAAAATTCTTATTTTTTGGAAGATTTGTTGAAAGGTAAGATTATATGAGTGTAAGACCTGTGCAAAATTTATCATGCCGAGAATTACTCCTAAAATTAGAAATGTTGACATTTGGAGCTTCGTTTCGAAGAATATGCTAGAGAATATGGTACCATCTTTCAGAGAAGATGAAAAAGTCTGGTTGAAAATTTATGGCGAGTATATTTTTTACCCAAATGACTGACTGTAATTTGTTCTTTTTTCTAACGTAGATGGATGCATCAACAATGGACTGGAAAAGCGAGATGCACAAAATGCTTGGTGTGTTCGATCGCCAGACAACAATGTCTTTGGCAAAAATTAAAACGGCCTTCGAACTAAATGGGCTATTGTTTAATGCTGAATTCAAGCAGTATTTTTTGAGCGTTTCGAACGATCATTGAGTAATATCAAGAGTTTCGAGTATTTGGTGTAACCTAGGGGGTAGACATGATTCATTTGATTCACTGTGATTCAAAAGATTCACATTGTTTAGATGACATTTGAATTGTCATTTGTGTGTCATTCAAGAAATATTTATTGAACAATTAAAATTATTTGTCTTCGAAAAAATGATTTCTTGACGTTTTTTTTTAAATGTATTAACTCATTATTCTTATCTATTTCGTGTTTTTCTAGTAAATTCCAAAAAAAATCAACGATAATATTTAGAACTTGTTGAACGATCATGTTAGTAGAACCATAAATGATGCTTGTTTGACATTTGAATGATTCATTTGATTCACTGTGATTCACATGATTCAAAGTTTTATAATTCGTGTCTACCCCCTTGGGTGTAACCTTTTCATCATTTAATTTAATTTTAATTTTGTGCAGGATCAAGAATACGTATGATCAATTTGAAATTAATTCAATGTTAAAAGACCGAGTCAATGGTGGTCCAGATGCAAACATGTCAACGACAGTTAAATTCGGGATGGCGAGCTTTATTCACAGTATGGACGATGCCCAAAACGAAAACAATAGTCCAGTGGAAATCAATGACTCAAGCGATGAAGAAGATCAAATCAAAACGGAACCTTTCGATGCTGGATTCGGCATTCAGTGCGATAATAATGACGAAATGTTTGATTGGAACCATTTTTTTCAAACTGACAACTATGGCAGCTATTCTGTTATGGTACGAAAATCGAAGATGGCGACGATATAATAAATGAAACTAATACAGCAACGAAAGTGGTGGACATAAAAATGTACGATGGCATTTCACATTTGTTGATCATTTGGACACAACGAACGAACAAGCAACATTGAATAATGGACGAAGCATCTTGGGTGGTGCCAGAAGCTTCAAAAAAACGAGGACGATTGATGAGTTGTCCAGCAAAAGATGCTAAATCGCGTTTGATTCCAGAATCATTGCGAAATAATACATCAATTTCATTAAACCAGATGGAAACCAACAAGCGATTCAAATGCCGTCTTTGCGAATATTCCAGAAATCAAAAGGGGCACTTTATTCGACACATGCGTACCCATACCGGCGAGAAGCCATATCGATGTGATTTATGCCCCAAAGAATTCACAAGTATGCAGAGCCTGAAGAAGCACAAAATGACACACATCAATGAATTTCCATTCCATTGCCGAGGCTGTCTTGATGGATTTTTTCCAGAAGGCCGACAAAGAAGCACATGGAAAAGTGTGCAAAATGCGTCGATATGAATGCCATATCTGCAAAAAGCTTACCACTTTGAATAAAACTCGCTTGAAAGATCATATGCGAAAGCACAACGGTGAAAACTCTTTTCGATGCGAGATTTGTCGGAAGCGTTTTACACTCAAAGACAATTTGAAGAAACATTTGTGCAACATCCACAATACAATCAACCCATAAATTCAATCTTTTAACACAGATATCAATACTTTTTTATCCATGACTAAAAACTATCTCTGCCGACATTGTATGACCATCACTCGATCATATTGGATGAACTTTCCAAACAATAAAATTACAATGTTTTCACATTCACACATTCAAAGAGCTTTTCTTCAAAAAATAATGTTGTTTTCTATAAATAATTTAACATAAAATGAAATTCCAAAACAACTTTCTTCCTTTACGAGATAAATAAAATCAGTTTCTAGCGTTGCAAAATCATTCTTTCTGTACTTTAATTATTTCTTCAGATAAATCTTCCAATTTAGTGCAAAATATTGCAAAATAAACGAGGCGAACTAAAATCGCCACGAAGTTGATCATAAGTGGCAATTGAAGAATGCCATTTTGACAGTTTACGTCAAATTCCATTTCCATATCATTTTCATTAGGTACGCTTTGCATGCAGAACACGTGTTTTCAACAATTTGATCTTGACCAATTATAATTAAAGTCATTAATACACGTTGCTAATAAATCTC